CCTCCTGGTTTCATGGGAAAAGGGAAACGCGGTCACCACACTGGCAAAGCCCGAGTCGCATCTGTGCCCAGGACGCTCACACCACAGGTGGACGGGCCCATTTACTCCAGCCCAGCGGGCAGGTGCGTTCACTCTCAGATCACAGATGACGCTACTGAGTAATTTGTCCAAGTCGCATGATTAAGGAGCACAAGAGCAGATGCACATGGGGGCCGTGTTCTTGGGGGGGTCCCCACCTGGCTTCTCAGGCCCACAGGCTGTGTGAGGTGCGAAAGGAAGCTTCAAAGACCAGAAGGGATTTGCTGGGGACCACATGGCAACGTGAGGTAGAAATGGACAGAGGCCCCAGGTGCTTCCAGAGATTGGGGGGCAGCCTGGGAGGAGGCAGCCTGGGGTGGGTGGACCTCCTGAAGGGCAGAGTCCAGGCTGAGCTGGTGGCTGGCGATTGCATCAGGGCCCAGGAGCTCTGGGGACTCCCTGGCATGATGCAACCCTGTCTGGCGGCCACCTCACCTGCCGTGACAAGGGCCGGCCCAGGGTTCCAGATTCCACAGGACAGTCCCAGCTCTGGCTGCCTGTGCCAACCCCCGAGGACTCCGTTCCTTCTGGAACCTTCACCCTGGTTCCCGCCATGAGGTCACACTCATCTCCTCTGCGATTTACTCACTTTCCCCACAAGCTACACCTGCGACTCCCACCCCCAGGTCACCCTTCTCACACGGAGCAGTTGGTCACTGTGTGTGCTCGGGGGTCGCGTGACGCTGAACGAACACTCCTGCGTTGCGTCTGGAGGCCGTGCTCTGTCGGGCTGGCCTCTGGCACTGCACCAGCCTCGGTTCTCCCGTAATCGGCTGCAAGCGCGCCTGGCTTCTCCCTCGAAGCCAATGCCAGGATGGACATTTAACTGCCATCCAGCCCAGGGGCCCCGAGGGCTGTACCGTCAGGGCTGGCGGGGAACCTATGTCTCAGGGACTCTGGCCTACAGCCAGGGACCACTTGTCCAGGTCTGGGGACGGTCCTGGTTCTCACTGCTCTCCTGTCGTCACCATCACTGTTACCTCTCACAAGTGTCCTGGTCGGGTGACACTTGAAGGGCCGTCCTTCTAATGCAGCTTCCAGGACGATGGAAGGAGGGCCCTGAGATGGAGGCACACGAGGGGCCCGAGTCCGCCCGCGGTGGTGTCACACTGCGCTGTCACCGGACACTTGGTGAGCCCGGACCGTTGGAGTGCGGGTTCGCAGCTCGGAGCCTAGTGGGGAGGACACAGCCAGCAACACACACTGGC